GGGACCAGCCTACTTGAGGCCAGTTTGCACTTTGTGTTACATAATCTAGAAGATCCTGAAGAACATTTAATACTGATGCTCACATTGCTCTGAGTTTTTACAAAGGGAACATGGGGTTCTCTGTGTGTGTTAGTAACAATCAGAAGTCTTAAGCTCCTGGTGTCTCTTCCTTGCCCTGAGTGAAATGAACTGGAAATGTCCCACTGTTCCTTAGCAGACAGGAGGGGTTTAGACTCTCACCCTGTGACTTTTCACAGACTTTCAATTAAATGAACAGGGAGACTGCACTACCTCATCCTTCCTGGAGCTGACAAATTCAAAGCACAGTTCTGAGTCACAGCGATAGGAGTGGTGCAAAGGAGCCTTCCTCTCTCTCCCCGTACTGACTCATCGGAGCTTTCATTTTCCACTCCAGTCAGGAAGCCAACACATTCTATGACAATTAAATTTTTCCTAACAAGAAGATTTTGAAAGCTTAATTAGGCTTTGAACTGTACCTGAGCAGTGAACTTCATGATGTGAACCCTGACATGGATGCTTGTCAGCCTGTAGCTGAAATCAGCTTCCATTTATTTCTTGGTATTGGTGATGACTCCTAGAAGGAAGGAATGCCCTGAAATTTTCTTCAAAATGTTTCAATGTTACTTTGTACTACCTAGCTTCGTTTTGTTATGTGCAGGCTCAATTGCATTGCAGATGGGATTTTTGTTTTGAAGTAACATTCAGGTTAGCCTGTTGCATTCCTGCAGTCATTCTAATTGCTGAAAATACATGCTGGTTTGACTAGGGTGAACTGAGACACCTAAAATGGATTTTTACCATAGTTATATTTTACCATAACTAGTACTTTCATTATCAACAATAAAAGTTGAGAATCAGGGTTTGTGTCTGATACCATCCATGACTTGGAAGTTACTTTACTTTTCAGCAGTATCTTTGTTTTTCAAGACTCAAAAGGGAGGAATGATGCTTATCTTTCCAAGTAGTTTTATCGATTTGTGAAAAAAAAAAAAAAAAAAAAAAAGCCCACTCCAAACCATTATACCAGACCTCTTTAACTAGTAGCACTTAAAAAAATTCAGCTAAGAATCATCAGTTCCAAGGCAAGCTGAAATACACAACTGTGACTATATGCACTTAAAATCAGTAAAGAAACACTTTCATCAGTAAAGTGAGTTACACTTTGATCTTTGAGTTACAATTTGATTAAAAATGTCTTCTAAACTGGGGACATAGGGCAGTCTTCACAGACACTTCAGAAATTTATTTGTTATTCCAATACTAAGCACTCCTCAGATATTTATCATTTCTGGAAAATCTAATATCCCAAGATCTATGACATCCCCGCAAGAACAGATGTATGAAAACCCTGACTTTAATTTGTGTAAAGCAGAACTTTTGGAACAATCACCATCAGGAGCAAGCTCTGGTATCTGTGAAATACTTGCAAGCAACATATTTAGGGGATTAAAAACTCCTCTTCTTGACATTTGGCCTGCCTTGAAGTGAAATCTAATAAACTAAAAGAATGTCTGGGACAGTTTCAGGTGCTAACAAATGTCTAGAGCTAAGAATAGATCTGAGTGAGTTTTAAGGGTTAGTTTACCTTTCTTGTCTTTGCCAGGATGTCAAAACTGCCATATTAGGCTAGTGCATAGAGAGAAACTTGCTTGTCCTTCTTGAAAGCAATAATATTTTATATCTGTAGCACTACCCTAGTGAAATTTTAAAATTAAATGACATGGAATACAACTAACACCAGAATTTCTTTAATATCCTAAAGCATGAATAGAAGCATGTCTAGACTCAAATACAAACCACCTTTTATAGCAAAATTCAAATCCTCCTCTGTTCCCTGCCAAATGCTGAGTTCAGTCCCTGAGGGCCTGAGCTGAGTTTCCTTGGCTACAGCAGCTGGCATTGGCAGGGCAGGGAGTGCCGCTCCTGGCCTTGGTGTGCTGGGTGATTTCGTCAGCTAACACAGGTCTTGACAGATGCAAAGACTTTCACTTCACTTCAAGCACCGTAAAACCTTTGGTGCATGATTTGGGAGATTGGGAAGCTTTTTGATCCAGGAAGGGCTGGGATCAGGGATCCTGATTGTAATCCTCCAGGTCTGTCAGTAGTCTTTCAATGCATTTCTTCTAAACATAGAAATAACATTTTCTCTGAAATGAGTTCTTGGTGCATGCTGAATTTGCCAGACATCTCACTTTGAGGCAAAGATATGACAAATGTGCTTCCTAGCATTTTCATGTTGATTTATTCTTCCCCACAAAGGACAACTTCATAAAGAGTTTGAATCAGATCCATGTTCACACGTTACATATGCAACATTTTTGTGGCTGACAAAGCTGGCTTCCCAAGCAAACTAACTTGGAAATAAAGTCAAACCAGTGAAGGGTATGCTGAGACTGCTATACTTCAGTGGCTATTTTATTCCAACTAATCATCATTATTATTATGAGTAGATATTTACCCTTAGGTGCATTGGGCAGATCATTCTGACTCATCTATTTAATGGATGCTGTCCTCTTGGGTTAATGATTATCTTTTTTGTATGAAAGCTTTGTTAATCCCTATAACTACATAGGATGGCTATTTTAGTACTTACCATGTGACATGGATGCTGACATAACCTTTCTAGTATTGTTGGTTGTAGCTTGTATCATGACACTAGTGTGAATTATGGCTGTCTTGAGGATACAAACCTTCTTATAGCACAGATGGTCTGTAGGAAAAAAAAATCCTGTAATGACGGTCTGCACATCACACATTCAATCTTCCCTTGCAGACTCTTTCCTTTACCATTGCCTCATACTCTTAGGTACCTTTTAATCAAGCATCTAAGACATAACTTTTTGTTCTATAATAAAGATTGTAACATGCAATTCCGGAAAATACCTCTGCTACCAGCATTATCACGGCTTCTCATTGGCCTCCCCCAGATTTCCTTAGAAATGTATCACCATTACTTCCAGACAGCTGATTTTTTTTACTACTTCTTTGAAAGAACGATGAAAGCTGTGTAAGCTCATTAGCAGAGCATGTGTGTAGGCTTAAAATTACAGATAATAGACATATGGTTGGAAAATCAGTAATTCCTTTACGTATTTGCCAAGACTTAGGTCAAGGTTCAGGGTTTCCTTTGCTCAAACTGCTGAAATCAGAAATACCTCCAGGTGTTCTGGGGAAAGCTTGCAGTGCACATGCAAGACAGGTGATGGGGCACAGTTACCTCAGTTGCCTTCTGCAAGGGCAAGCCATGTTTACTCTAAATTACACACAATTTTGATGTGCTTTTCGTTTTGCCCTGTTTTTTTTGTTTAAGCCAATTCTTTTTTAATAGTTCTTGGTGTTTTCTATGCACTCCAATAATCCATTTTTTCTAACATTGCATTAAATTAATTGTAATAAATTTTGATGTCACAACCCTGGCTTTTCATGTCAGTGAGATTAACAGTTAATGTATTGGAAAATATTTGTTTGCTTAAAAGTAATCATAATTTTTAAAAAAAATTACCTCCTTCCCACTCAAGGAGCACAGTCCTTGTCTGTCACATCTGTATTTGTATAATGATTTCATATAAAGTAAAGTGACATAAATATGTGTAATATATTTTAGAGATATATGTGTAAGATATTTTAGAGAAAAATTAATCAAAAGGATGATTTTTACCCAGGTTCACCAGCTGTTTCTTCATCATAATGGTTGTCTTGTTTTTGCTGGTAACAAAGCCACGAGCTTTAAATCCAGATCTTTTGGCTTAGATCTAAGAGAGGATGTGAGGATTGGTGCAGTTGTACATCTACATGGCATCAGCCTGGGGATCTGGACGCAACGGTGGGGGCAAAATCCACCCTTGCCTCTGTGTTTGCCCTGTTTCAAATGTGAAAGGCCAGCTCTGCTGGAGAAGTTACATTGTCTTGACAAATGGGTCTTTCTCTGTCTGAGTGAGAGTAGCACTGATTGTTTGAGATGTTAACGTGGGCACATTGTCACCACTGCCCAGAGTGAGGCCACTGGCTGCTTGCATGTGGACTACCCTAGAGCAGTGTGACAGCTCCCCACTACACCAAACACGGTCTGAGTACATTTTGCTCCTTCCAAATTATTTTCTATACATGTCTTGGAATATATATTCAGATACTTTTAAAGATAATTTTCAGAATATTGGTTTAAAACCAAATGAAAAATATTTTCCCCCTTTAAATCTCTCAGCAACTTTGTAGGTGAAGTTATTTCTTATTGTTCTTATTTTGCTGCTGCAGTTACACTGATTTTTAAAGAATTATGGTCTGTGTGTGTGAACGTGTGTCACCCTCACTAGTCCATGTTAGAGAAACCAAAAGTGAATGTTACTGTATCTGGGGACTGCAATAATTTGTCCTTTTGACATTCACTTAATTTTACACATTTTTCAGGAAGCCAAAATTGAATGAGCACCATGCTGTACTCCAAAAATCTCTTTTAGCCAGGTTCTCTCTATCAGGAACAACAAAAGTGTGTGAATATCATGACTAACATGGAATAATCCCAAACTAATACCTGTATTAGATTTCAAACTATAACAAGTCTAGATTAAGTAATTTTTTTTAAAAAGTGCTTATGCATCTGCCAGTAGAATTTTGTCTTAAATAAGCAGTGTTAAAGATAAAAAAGTAATGGTTTTAGTGGTGAACTGTGAAAGAGAGAATCTATATTCATCTTATAAAAGAATGTGTTTATTTTCATTAGGATTTTTGCTTACATACAGAAGTAATGCATACATAAATTTTGAAAGCATATGAAACTGGACTCTGATCAAAGCCTTAAAGAGATATCAAGCCTATCCTGTTTTCAGATTCAGCTCTGTTTCATGTCAGAGAACAAAGTTTCTAACAGAGCCTCAGTAACTGACCAGCAATTGCAATTTCTTATGTTATTGTTTCAAAGTGTAAGATGAAATTCAATATAATTATTTTCTTCTTTTTTTTTTTTTTTTTCTTTTATTAACCAGTTAATTTAGGTGATGGGATAGAATACAGCCAGCAGAAGCGCGAAAATATTGGAGTTCTCATTCAAGAGACACTGGAACTCTTTGAACGCTACGGTGGAGAAAATGCTTATATAAACATTAAATACATGATCCCCACTTATTTGTCATGCATGTAAACTGAATTATATTAAATGGAATGATTCCATCTATGCTCTAAAAAAACTGTATCTGACTCTGTATGGCATCTTGTTAGTCATGCTTTATCTTCTCTACAGCTGCTAAAATAGTGGCTTCTGGGGCATTGGAGTGTTAGCACTATTGTGAACAAGGCTTTCCAATACATAAATAGTGTCTGTTCCTTTGATTACAATGGTGTACTGTGCTTGTTTGTTCCCTGAAAGAATCCCTCCTTTATAACAGAGCTGACTCGAACAAGAATCTGAGTTAAACCTTCACTTGTGTAGACAATAAAACTATAATTTTCATACGCGATTCAGCAATCGCTGTTCTGTGTCCGCTTGCCCTGAGGGTGATGTCAGAGGCTGTAACAAGAAGAGTTTATGCTGACTGCTTAATAGGTGTTTGTCATGGAAGAGAAACACCAGTTCAGCAATGCCTCTCTAGCAGCTGTGCCGAATAATGTGCACAGACATACAATAAAACTGTTGAATGTATATACCAATTGCAGCGGGAAAATTTATATTTTCCATTCTAAAGCACTGTCATTAAATTAATCCAGGTTTCTTACACACTCCTGTTCTCAGCTTGCAGGTGTTTACTCATGGAACTTGTGTTCCTCTTGGTGAACATAAGGCACAAGCACAGTTTTGAAGAAAAGAGGCCCAGAAAAAAACTTGAATAAACCAGATGGAAGATACGGCATACAGAAAGTATCAGTCCCTAGCAACACTGTTAATCTGGATAAACACAGAATATATGCGTACATTTTTAAAGGGCACTTGGTATTTTTGTAACTGCAAGGTTGCTGTTGCTTTTCTGTTGTTATTTTTATGGTGTGTATGTGTGCAAAGAATGTAACTACTGTTGTAGGAATCCCTTACAATTTCCTACTCAGTTAGTTTCTCCCTGTGTACCCATAACACAGAACTGATAATATAATCATGGATTTAAGCAAAGCTTTTGAGATTGACTTTATTGCTTTTTAAGCATTTCTATGGAATAAACCTACAAAAAAAAATTAAAATAAAACCAGTCTTACAATTCTCAAGGATAACCATTTAAAATTATTGAGTCAGCTCAAAACAAATCAGAGATATGAACTTTTCCTGAAAACATGTGATTTTCCAAAGTACTTTAAAAGACTTTGGGCTCATCTGTCTTTTATTATGTTTTCTGGAGCTCTTCAAATGTATGCAAGTTGCACTTTCAAGAGTTTCACTGTAACTGTTAAGAGCCTGAAATGCACTCTTTGGTGTTAGACACATGAGACTTTTCCCAAGTGCTTATCCATATCCATATTCACACCTTACAAGGCTTGCCCAAGTGAAAGACACAGCCCCTACACTGCCCTGCTCTCTTGGATGCCTGCTTGAAGTGTGGGGAGCACCTTCCCACCTGCTGAAACTTTGTGCCATATCTATCATTAGATTGACATTAGAACTTGCCTTTTTCTGTTCTGTGGCACCTTCAGCCTGAGAATTTTCTTTTACTTTCTTCTCTTTCCTGTAAATGGGAAAAAAAAAAAAAAAAAAAAAAGTTTTTTAATCTTCTCACCTCTTTGAGGAGCTGTACCTTCAAGCGATGCCATCAGCCACAAGCACTCATCAGCCCCTGGTTTAGGCATGGCTGCTGGAGGTGTGCCTTTCCCCCAGGCCCCAAAGACCTTCCTTTTGTGGGTGTTTTCTTTTGCTCTTCCTGAGTTTTGTTTTACCCAATTTTTCCAGGGCTACCCTCAAGTCCTTAGAGTTGAGACAAGGTCTGTCCTGTGTCCAGCATACAGGTGCGATGGATAAGTACATCAAAAACTCTGCCTCCTGTCGAGGGTATCGACAAATCTTTTACCTTTTGGGCAGAAATGGAGGTGAAACCTGGCTGTAGGCCCATATCTCTGGAAACTCAAGAGCTTTGTCTTCAAACCTTGCAGCACAGAGGCCAGCTGGATCATGCAGGGGGGCACAGGCCCTGTCCTCCCTTCCAAAAATGCTTTTCTACACAGCCACCCTGGCAGTATCCACACAGCCTTCGCTTACAGCTTCTCCCCATTTGCCTTGCATTGTCCCTGGCACCAATGAGCCATACTTTTTCATTTACTCACATCTATGGATTTGGTGACTGTGACACTGCAGGCTTCCCATGAGTACAGGCTGTGCTGGAAAACTGCAGCTCAGAGGGAGCTGAGTTATTCAGCTCAGAAACAAACCAAGCCCTTCAGAAAAGGAAAATTCCCAGGCCACCTTTCACTCCTCAGCTATTTGTATTCTTTTCCTTAAGAGAAAGTCCAGTATTGCTCTTTGCCTGAGATCAAAAAGCTTCTCAATAGCTGGCTTCAGTTCCCCTGACGCTGGGCTCCAGCCACACAGCCACTTGCAGAAGGGACTGTGCAGGAAAGGGCTCTCAGCCCTGGGTTTTCCCCATCCCATCACCCTCTGCATTCCCAACAGCTCTGTCGAGGATGAGAAGTTTCAGGCTCCTCACCAGCCTTTGTAATTCTGTTCCCCAGCCCCTTCTTTTTGCATCCCCTCCCCTTCAGCTCAGCTAGGACAAGACTGCTGGCTGACAAAGAGACACCGTGGAAAATGGGTACTTTGTGAAGCTGCAGACTTGCCTGGGCCCAATGCCCTCAGACTTGTGCTCTTTCTTGAAGATTTCTTTCACAAGACATAGGTTCAACAAGGGGTGACCTTATGACAAACCGTAAGGGCAATAGAGGTCATGCACATTCACATCAGGAAAAATAAGTTTTATAGAAAAGTGCTTTTATTTGCATGTTCAGGATGAGAACATTAGCCTCCATCAACACTATTCCTATGTCTGGTCCATTGATTTGAAAGTGAACATCCTCCCGTTACTTTTTCATTTCTAGGAGCTGGACTGATAAAAAGAAGCATGATAAAACCCATGGGCTGGTAATTTAGAAACACTGAGAATAAAACTATTTTAAGATGTCATTTTACTAAGTCAAACTGTAGGCCTTCCAACCTTGACAATGTTCCTTTGAGCATGATCAGCAGCATATTTATAGGCAATTACAGCACAGCTCAGAGCACTTTATAAAGCACAAGATCAAGGACTCAGGTGCTTAAGCATACAAGTGTCATTCAATACACTGCTTAGCTATCTTACTATGCTGAAAAAATAAACCAGAATTATGGTTGAAAAATAGTAACTGGCTCTCTTTTGACCAGATAACATAATTGTGGTCACAGATACTAGGGGCAAGCCAATCAAACAATTTTTAGTTGTAATAAATTAAAAGGTATTCTGGGCAGGTGTTTCAAGGGATATAAACCAAATGTAGAGACATTAAGGCTAAATTGGCTTTACAGAAGTGGTGTGGTTTGTGCCTTACTCTGGGGTCTTCTGCTGCTTTCTAGCTCTCTGGTGATGGTAAGGTAAGGAGCATCAGTGAATGAATGTGTGGAAAGTTAAGTTTTAAGAACTGGTTTTCTGAAACTACCTGTTTAAAACCTCTCCAGTTTATCTTAATAATTATGTTAGGTTGGCTGGCTATTGTTTAGCTTGAAGAAGAAAAAATAAGTGATAACATTAGGGGGGAAAAAATGTATCTTTGGCTGCCTTTGTCATGCATGATCATGAGAACAAGCATAGAATATAGTATTTTTGATGATTCCTCCCCAAAGCTGTGCAAGGGAGCTCTGTAACAGGTGTCAGAGTTTAGGGAACTCTGGTACTTTGTGAAGGCTGGCAGGTGCTGCAGGGCAGTTGCTGTGCAAGCTATTGATCCACTGAGCATTTGGAGCTGCCCACGTGCAGGTGAGCAGGGCAGGGGTGGCTGGGGCTCCTGCAGAGGGGCAGAGCCTGGCAGAGAGGACGGAGCAAGATGCTGCCAGCGCTGGTGGCAGGGAGCCGGAGCCAGGCTTCTCGCTGGTAGCTTTCCAGTGTTTCAAAGAGATGGAGCTGCCAAAAAAGTTTGAAAAGAGCCTCCCAGGAGTCAAATACAAAAGGGCTGTGGGAAGTTGTAAGTGGGAGGGAAGGTATGGGACCTTAGCTGGGAGGGTGTTTGTGCGTGGGGTGCAGGGAGGTGCAGCTGCAGCCAAGCAGGGCAAAAATAAAACATTAGAGCAGACACTATGTGCTTTCTTAATCCTGTCTGGAGACCCTCTGACTTCCAGAAGAGCATTCTCCAGTCTGAGGGGCTCTGCTGGCAGTGGGGCACATCACATTTTTCCACTCATCTGTAACATCCTGTGTTTTCTGCCTTAAATAAAAGCAGTGATGTTTGTGGGAACTCCATATAAAGCCTGTCTGCTTGCAACCTCTCAGAGCTGCTTTGTGCCTCCTGGAGACTGGGAGAGGAAGGTTTATGCCCTGGCAGGACAAGAAGTTCCCTGCACTGGCCCCATAATCCTTCCGGCATGTGAGGGGAGGGAAGGGGAGTGTGTGTGGTGGGGCATATCTTAGCTGTTCTTGTTCTTGCCTTGCAAATCCAGCCTGGGTATGTCTGTGGGGCTCCTTGCTGAGAGCTCTCCCCTCCTTGGACAGTGCCTGGTGGCTTCTGGTGAGGTGGGTAGAAGCCTGCTTGAGCAGAGACAGCAAACCACAGCTTCACGGAGGAAAATGTATGTTTCTTGCAGAGTAGGGAGTCAGCTTTGTCCTTTACGTCCCATTTGTGATGCCACAAGTCAACAAATACTTTATTTTTTTTACTAATGTTACTCAGGAGTGATTTGAGCAGCCCTCATGAACTCGGTCTCACAACCCCCTGTGCTCTTGGTGTGGGCTGTGTATGCAGCAGGACAGGGTCTGTGTGCTCAGAAGTGGGTGACTGCTCCCCTCTCTGGGCTTCCCTATTAGCAGCAGAAACACCTAATCTTGGCCACCCTGCTGAGGCACTTTCCAACCAGGAATGTGCCCTGAGTCCCCTTCCTCAAGGGGAAAGGAGAGGCTGCTCAGAATTTTTTTTTATTTTTTTTTTTGCCAACAGAGCCCCTCACATAGAGCAGAAGCCTTAAGCTACAGAAGAATGGGCACCTTCATGGAAGAGAAAGCTGAGGGCACAAGCTGTTGCCAGGGGCAGTTTTGGGACCATGCCCTCTCTACTGCTGCTGTGGGTACCCATGCAAAGGAGCCCTCTGCATTTGCTATGATCTGGTGACCCTGGTTGCATGGGGTGAGAGGGGATGAAATGGGAACTAATCCTAGGGCTTTCCAAATACTGAAAGTTAAATCCTAGCCTCCTTACTCTGCCTTGGTCAAGGTGGATTAATGCAGTTAGGTAATAGGAAGAAAGGGAGCACCTAAACAGAGCACCATAGTGTCGGATCTTGTATGACATACCCTTAGTTTATCA